GAGAGAGAGAGAGAGAGAGAGAGAGAGAGAGAGAGAGAGAGAGAGAGAGAGAGAGAGAGAGAGAGAGAGAGAGTTTGGGTGGAGAGCGCATAGATCGGGAGCTAAGTCGGTATCAGCGGGTCGATACGATTTGGTCTTACCGCAGAAAACGGTAAAGGATTTCGTCTTCCAAGGATCAGCGATGATGTTGACCCTTCTTTTGGATTATTTTACAGCGCTGCGACCTGGATGCGTTTCTCCACTTTTGTCGTGTCAGCTGTGCACCCTAATTGGTGAAGTGCCCCCCGTCTGCCAGATCGAAGAGCATGCTCGCATTTCGATTCATTCAGTGAATCTTGTCCTTCTTTCCAGCCAGTCAGTTCACCGAAGTGCTACCCAGTGTGAGTATGATCTCCGACGCAGGCAAAATAGCATCGCTGTTGCGGACCGTTGCGGGCTTTTTTTTTTTTTTTTTTTTTTTTTTTTTTTTGAACTTTCCCCTTCCTTTCTTTTGCCCGGAGCTTGTCGCTTCAGATAGAGGGAAATTGCACTCGTTTGCTGTTCGTTTTTTTTTTTTTTTTCATTTTCAATTTGGACCATTTCTCGGTTTTCGAGTGCCTTCCCTAGCTGCGCAGGGGCCATGCTAATTAGTTATCCTCTCTGTATGTACCGTTCCAATTATTTATTTATTCATTTATGGATTCATTTGAGTGCTATCCCTAGCTGCGCAGGGACAACTGAATCTTTTTTTTTTTTTTTTTTTTAACGCCCTCACCAGTGTTAGTGGTGCTGATAGGAGCAGACACCACTAGCACCTGGGGAGAGGCTCCATCTATTGGTGGGGAGCATCACCTGCTGGAAAGCGGGTCCAGCGTCGACAACTGAATCTTCGTAGTTTCCTTCTCTTATTTTAATTTTCTATCACCTCCCCCCCCTCCCCTTTCCATTTTTGGTCTTTGGTTTGTCCGCCGCTGCGCTCAGCTGGTGCGTCCTTGTGATTGAAGGGAGGTTCGCTCAGCTGTTGCCTCCTTGTAATTGAGGGGAGTTGATTTCCTGTCGGGATGAGTACAATTGCATCCTTTTCTTTTTTTTTTAGTAGAACTGCATTCTGTTCGAGGCTAGATGCGTACTACTGATAGGGACAAATCGCATTACGTAGGGAGAAGAGAAAATTCGTATCGTAATGGTCGAAAAGCCTCTGTCAGAGACCAACCTAGACGCGCAGCACACCCAGGTGCAGCGGACCAGCTGCTGGGGTGGTTACTCTCCACGATTTGTGTGGTCCCTTTCCGTTCCCATCTGTGGAAACTTCTCTGAAGAATTCTCTCGGAGATTGTTTTTAAGAGACTTACGGCCAGCCCCCTTGGAGGGAATCTCGTTTTGCTCAAGGAGCACATATCTGCCCATTTTACGACCAGATTCATGCTTTCTAAGCGATACCATAGCTGCTCGTACCACAAATCTGCCCTCTGTTTGCCCACAACAAACTAGCACATATCTGGCTCAATTTACGACCAGATCCATGCTTTCTAGGCGATATCAGAGCTCCAGCGTGTGGTCAACTTCCTAGCACATGCTTTCTAGGCGATATCAGAGCTCCAGCGTGTGGTCAACTT